CTATCAGGCGCGAAGAAGGCGAGTGGAAAACGGCTCAGCTTCGCGCCGCCCTGGCTATTCATTCGGCGTCGTCTCACCTGATCAGAGCTGATGCCGTTGCTCAGTGCGGCTTTGACGCTTTCTCTGTTGATCGTCCCCATGATGAGGTTCGGGAAGCGGGCTTTAAGAGAGACGAAGAGGCTCAAGACGCTGATCCGCAAAGGATTGTCTGACGAGGCGAGAGGAATCATGTCAGCATTTCTTTCGAAGGGCCAAAGTGCCGCAACGCAAGGCACCAGTTCGACTTACTGGTGTACGCATACACTCTATAATTCGTCTCCAGAATGACAAAACCTCTCTCCTCATCGCTGCCATGCCCACCGACCAGCGGGGTGGCGCTGCTGGTAAGCGTGGTGGCCAAACGTGTAGGGTAGAACCTTCGCGAAGTGCTTTTCCTCTGATAGACTAGTCCGTAATCCCTGAAATCTTGCAGCATGTGCAGCTGCGTCTCGGTGAAATCCTCGATGGAGTAGTCCTTGCCCAGTTGAAGATTTCCCAGCATGAAGATGAACGACAAGACTTCCACCAGATCCATATTTCTCGATTCTGCCATTGTGAGGTAAGAGAGCAAAAGGTCCCAAAGCTGCGTGTTCAGATCCTCCAGCAGGAATTGAAAGCCGAGCGAAGTGATGGAGAGGTCCGCATCGTCTGGTCTTTTGCTCGAGGCGTGCTGCATCAAGCCAGAAGCTCTGAGGAGGTAGAGCACAGGAGCACGCGGTACTTCTGCACCCCCACTGCCCACCATGTAGTGCAGTATTGCTTCCCATCTACTTCGAGCATACTCGTCCAGGTATTCCAGGTCCACTGCATTCTTGTCAGGCGTATCGCAAGCGACCCCGAAAGATCTATGATCGCCTCCTCCTATCAGTGCTCTTCTCATGCCGTCCCTAAACACTCCGTTGAGTTGATACTTTGCACCTTTGATCCGCACAATGTTGAGCGTGGACAAGCGGTCCATGCCTTCTTCGAATTTTCGTCTCGCTTCAGTCTCTCGTTTGATCCAAGCCTGAGCGTCCGAGACGGGCATGGTGGAGGAAGATGCTTCTTCTCCCTCCAAGAAGAGCATAGACATGATCTGTTGTCGCGCAAGCATCGGTACCAATCTGAAGATGGCCAAGCAATTTGCTGGTCTTTGATACAGCCTATTGAGCGTCGTCTGAGCTTGGCGATCC